ATGATGTGTGTACCTTATTAGTATTGTGGTGGTGTTGTTAAGTGCCTTGAAATCGGTCTGACTCATAGTGACCCTGTGTAGAGTTTCCAAGGAGCAGCTGGTGAGTTTGTGCTTACCTTGTGGTTCAAACCAACCTTGCAGTCCAGTGCTTTATCCCACAGCACCACACCAGGACTCCCAACTATATACCTATCTACCACTTGGCTGAAAACATAGTCTAGGGTTCCTCCAGTCTCTATCTGACCAGCAAGCCTGGTCTTTTTTTTTATGATTTTAAGTTTTATTTCACATATTCTCCCATTCTATCTAGGATCTTCTAATGTGATCCCTTTCAGAGCAGTTGGTAGTGGTAACTGGGAACCACCTAGTTCTTACGGTTTCCTGGTTCATGTGGTCCATTAGTCAATTGGATTAACTCATTCCAAAATGTTGTTCATTGGTCCAGTGGTGAGGATTTTTGTTTTCTAGACATTGAGATGCAATCCATACCGAAGGCTGTGCTCTTTGATCTTCATCAGTAAATATTTTAAGTTCTCTTCACTTTCTAAAAGCAAGGTTGTATCATCTGCATATCGCAGGTTGTTAATGAGTCTTCCTCCAATCCTGATGCCATGTTTTTCTTCATAGAACCCAGTTTCTCAGATTATTTGCTCAGCATACAGGTTGAATAAGTATGGTGAAAGAATACAACCTGGTTGCACACCTTTCTTAATTTAAAACCATCCAGTGTTCCCGTGTTCTGTTCAAACAACTGCCTCTTGGTCCAGGTACAGATTCCTCATGAACACAATTAAGTGTTCCGGAATAATCATACTTAGCAATGTTGTCCATAGCTTGTCATGATCCACACAGTCGAAAGCCTTTGCATAGTCAATAAAGCACAGGTAAACATCTTTCTGATATTCTCTGCTTTCAGCCAAGATCCATCAGACATCAGCAATGATATCCTTCGTTCCACAGCCTCTTCTGAATCTGCCTTGAATCTCTGGAACTTCTCTGTCAATGTATGCTTGCAGCCATTTCTGTATTGCCTTTAGTAAAACTTTACTCGCATGGGATATCAAAGAGATTGTCCAATGATTTCCACATTCCACTGGGTCACTCTTTTTAGAATGGGCACAAATACGGATCTCTTCCATCAGTCGGCCAGACAGTTGTCTTCCAAATTTGGTTTTCTAATTCAACATCTTTGCACATTTTGTTGTGATATTTGGCTTTCTCTTCTCAAGCTGACCTTTAAAATTTTATATTCAGCTCTTGTACCTTGTAATTTCTTCCATTTGTTTGAAGTATTAGGTTTATCTTTCAGTGGTAAATAAACAGAAAGCATCCACTGCTCTGATGATCCACAAATCTTCATATCTTTTACAATTCCTTTCAGAAGTTTCTTTTCATCATTCTGTTCTTCAGAGTTAAGTGACGCAAATGAGTCTGAGATAAACCTAACTTTCTGCTTTTACTGTTAGCTGAAGTTCACATGCAACAGAACCTACTGATGGCTTCCCTTGATCTCTGCTGCCCTCCCATGGCATAGATTTGGAGAAGCTGAGTGGTTGGATCATACTAGAGTGTTTCTTACTATTAGCATTCCTTCTGCGCCTGTGCCTGTTACTATCTGAGGGCTATTGTTGAGGTTGCTGCCTTCTCCCAGAAGAAAGATGTTAATTCCAACACTAGTCTCCAAATTGGCACCGGCCTTGAAGGAAAAATTGACAAATGACCACCAAGACTGTTCACCTACGGAGAGATCTTCACTCAGCACCTCTAATACTGTTTTATAAAGGTAATAATTGTTTAGATTTATCCATATTTACTAGTTTCTTGGCTCATCATGCCTTCTAGTAGTTTAGATTTTACTTTGATTTATCCTCCCTGAAGCCTACCCCCATTCTGAAGTACATTCTTTAGATTTTAAGTTCCTTTAGTGAGAGTCTGTTGTTATACAGGGTTGCTATTAGTCAGAACTAATTTGATGGCAGTTAGCAACAACAGGTTAATGGTTAAGAAGCCCTGGTGGAGCAAATGGTTAAGCACTCAATTGCTAACCAAAAAGCTGGCAGTTTGAATTCAGCCTTGACTCTGCAGGAGAAAGATTTGACAATTTACTTCCATAAAATTGTAGCCTAGGAAACCCTACCCTGTAGGGAAGCTTTACTCTGTCATACAGAGTCACTGTGAGTCCAAATTGACTCGATGGTACCTAATAACAGGTTAACAGCTAATATCTCTCAGCTTCTCTTGCTGTTGAGAAGTGATTTTGTTTTCTATTCTGCTGTAATAAATCAATGGCTTAAAGCAATGCAAATCTGTCTTACATTTTTGTAGATCACAAGTCTGGTATGGGTCTCAGTGGAATAAAGTAATGTGTTGGCAGGCCACAATCCTTTCTGGATGCTCTAGATTCCATTTCTTTGCACATCAGGTGTTGGCAGAATTCAATTCAGTTCCTTGCAGTTAAAGAATTGAGATCTCTATTTTCTTTCTGTCTTTCAACTGCAGGCTACCCTTACTTCTTAGATGACTTTCTATGGTCCTTGCACGTATCTCCAAACCAGCACAAGGAATCAAATCTTTCTAATGCTGCCATCAGTCTGACCTAGCTAGGGAAGGTTCTCGACTTTTAATGGGACTAGATTAAAACTACCCAGATCATCCAAGGAGCCTTGAACACATAGTGGGTTAGGAGCAGGCTGCTAGTCACAGGTCAGCTGTTCAAATCTACTAGCTGCTTCTCAGGAGAAAGATGAGACTTTCTGTTACTGTAAAGATTTACAGCCTCAGAAACTATGCAGGGTTGCTATGAGTCAGAACCTACTTGATAACAAACAACCACCAAACCAGATAATCCAGAATAATCTTGCCATTTCAAGAGTAACCTTAATTATATCTCCAAAGTCTCCTTTGTTACTTTGCAGGTACAAGAGACTAGAGTGCGGACATCTTTGCAATATGAAGTATACTGGCAGTCTAGTGGTCATTCTTTTGTATCCGGTTTTGCTTTTCTCCCTGGCTGCTTTTAAAATTGCTTCTTTGGTTCATTCACTATGATGTTTCTTGGTATAACTTTCTTTTTACTTATCTTTGTGAACGCTGTTTTACCTCCATTCTCTTTAGAAACTGTTAAACATGTGGTAGATCTTTCATATATCTCCTCCCCTTACCTTTAGTTTTATTTTACATCTAAGCCTTCATGTGTATACATATGGACATCCCAACTCTGATGTCCAAGCTTCATCACCCCCCACTCCCACCTCGCTACACACATATATATACACACATACCCATTCCTGCAAATAGTCACCCTTTGACCACTCTTGGTGCAGACTGTGCCACACACGACCCTTGGGAGCAGGCCCAAGAAGACACCCTGAGAGTAGACTTGTTGCTATTTGGACAGAACATTTTGGGGTCCTAGGCACCTAGTGGGATTCTGGTGTGGTTCTGTGGGTTAATGTGCTGGATTGCAAGGTCGGTTTGAACCACAAGGTTGTTGCTTCAAGTTCACCAGTTGCTCCTTGGAAACCCTTATAGAGTTGCTATGGGTTGGAACCAATTCCATGACATTTAACAACAACAACAAAAAGTACCTATTGTATACTCTAGAAGAAGTCCATATTGTATGTTCTCTTAGCCCTGTGGGCTCCTAACCTTGTGGGGATGGTAACAAGTGGAAGAGGGCCAAAGTTGATCCCCCTCAAACCAGAGGCCCAAGGCAGGGCCTTTTTGCCTATGCGTAAGGGTAATACCATATAAAACAATAAGCAGGCTCCTTTCAAGAGGGGGAAAATGCTGTTTTGGATAAGACAAGGAGGAAGAGGAAGTGCTCTGTACAAGAGGTTGAAAATGTAAGGTCCAAGAGAATTTGGAACTGTAGTGAAGTATGAATTTGAAAGCAGGCAAGGTATTCGTGGTGAGATTAGCTGTTCTCTACATTCCAGTTAGAACTCTACAGTCAATTGTGAGCACGGTCACAGCGGGCTCAACTCCAATACTCTCCTAACTCTGCTCAGGATTTGCTGCACCCCTTATGCACTCAGCTAACCCCTAACACATTTTTCAGGTCTCAGTTTAAATTTTCCTTTTTTTCAGGAGGCCTTTCCTACAACTTTTGACTTATTTAGTACTTTCTCCTTTTGGGTATACCTAATCACACTTGTTAAGTTGTTCATATCTGCCTTTTTGATTATTTAGATTAAAAATTTTATGAGGCCATTTAACTTGTCCAGCATCATATTCCCAGTACCCAGCATATGACTGAAACACACATGGTGATCAATAAGTGGTGAATTAATAGTTGACCTCTGGTTCCAAGTGGCATTATATTCCATGGCTTTTCCATATCAAAAAGAGTATTAGCAGATGATATGCCTTTTGATGTCCTTCTACTATTTATAATTTCATTTTGCACATAATTTTTCAGAGCCAGTTACTCAGATAAAGGTAATATACTTTTTATTGTTGTAAAAAAAAAATGCAACACAACATTCATCAATTCAATGTTTTCTAAGATGTATAATTAAATTATATCAATTACATTAATCATGTACAACTATCACCCATAATCGCAGCTAAATTTTCCATTAAAAAAGTTATTTATTTTGTTACCTAAAACTTTTGTACGCTTCTCTGGAAAGCTGATCTAATATGTTGTATTAACATCATTTTGAAAAATAAAAAGCTTGGATTATATACTAGAAAAATCTGTTCATGACATGAAAAACTGCTTTTGCTCTTACCTATAGTAAGAAATGATCTTGAGAATACTTTAGGTAGTACCTACTCACTCCAACCCCAAAAGATGAAGGCAAAGAGCAAGGTACGAAGATGTTAGTATGTGACTTCCCTTCAAAAACCCACTCAGTCTATACAGATTACACATTGGCAAATTCAAACTATTCCTTGAATTGTTGGTGGCTACTTAATCATTTGATTAGTTTCTCCAAAGCAAAACCATGGTAGTTGTTAAAATTATCTGGAGGTTAACAAACAGAGCTTCCTCTTTAGTAGTGTAACAAACTCCACATAAAGGGAAGACCCATCTTCTGTACTACTGAGGAATTCTGTGATTGTACTTGTTCCTGGGTACAGGTCCACAGATATTGAGGCATAGCCTGTGTGCCACTAAAAATAACAAAGGTCTCAGGATTAGAGACACTGTTAACTACACTGTCATGACCATCTATGACTCCAGGAATCAATGGTGGGGGTACAATATTTGAATGACAACCCTGGGAGAAGGACCCTGTGAGTACTTCCGCTTCAAACACATAGATCATCTTATCAGTGGCAGAGGTCTTCTTGATCTGGTTTGCTAGAGTTTTGAGGTTCTTGGTGAAGTATATGCCAGTTCCATATTTTGGTTCTGATAAAAGAAATAAAAAAAAGAATTTTATGATCTGGTAAGTCATAAAGCTTATTTGGGTACTAAATGTGTATTATTGTGCTAGTCTTCCACACAATCACCTTCTCCAAGTTTCAAGTCTCTATGTCTGGAGCAGTCACACAGATTATCATTGTTTCTCACCAGCATATGAGTACCTTACAATTTGACTGTACCATTAGAGTTTATAGAGAAATCTATGATTTCAAAACACTTTTACATGGATTATTTTCAGTTGATCTGTAATTTGGGTAGCATCTCCATTTAATAGACGGCAAATCTGAGCTTCATGGAAACTCAAGTCAACATTATTAACTAAGCAGCTGACAGGAGATCATAGTGGAGGGAAGATTCTATTCCTCTTAGAAACAATACCTGACTTCTAACTGCTGCATGCAAATAAAGGTACCTTCAAAACTCTTGAGAAGAAGGTTAATGCAACTGGCATCTAATAAGAAGAGGCAGAATATCTCTCAAACTTATAGGCAGGAAAATGTGTCAAAATGAAGGGACTACAAAGCATATAAAAAGTAGTGTCCATGTGCATGCTGGCAAATTTAGAAAGACTCTGGATCTGAGAACATCAGATTCTGGTCACTAGAGAGGTATTCTTTATTGCCAGGATAAGTCACCAGTTCTCACCATGGCCTAACAAAATACCCCACAAAGAGTCTCCACATGCTTTTGATCTAGGTCCACACTCACCAGGCAACTTCCCACCCATCAGTCATCCTGAGTACTATGATACCAAGGAAGGAGTATCCCCCAGTCAGATGCAAATATTTCAACCACTGGAAATAAATATTCTCCATTCTGGTATAAGGACTCTGGTGTGGAACTGTAGGATGAGCACTAAACTGTTAACCCATCTTATGGTTAGCAGTTTAAACCCACAAGCTGCTTGTTTGAAACCTTATGTAGGGTCACTATAAGTCAGAACCAACACAACAATAACAACAACATTCTAACATAAATACTTGTGATCTATTTATGTTCTCTGGAGTACTAAGAATACACAGGCCATACTCTGGACTTTAAAGGCAATTCTTGTTCAATGCTCTTCCTACCCCTACTTAGAAGAGAAAAACAATGAAAAACTTCTTTGATGCCATATTTTCACTCCTTTTTTCCTTCTTTCTTTCTGTAAAGAAATGGAAATTTATTCAGGACTTAATCAAATACTGCTTCAGGCTTTAAAGCAGCAGTGAAAAATAGAGGTATAATGTGGCGCCCACATATGTACTTTTAAATTAATTTTTAAAATTATTTTTATTTAATGATTTATTAACTTAATTATTCAAAATATTATCATTTTAACATGGAATCAATATAAAAAGTAATTAAAGACCTATGTTACTGTTGTTGTTCTTTTGGTAGTAAGCCTTTGAAGCCCAATGTTCATTTTATACTTGTCGTTGTTAGGTGCCATCAAGTCGGTACCAACCCATAGCGACCTTATGCACAGAACGAACCACTGCTCGATCCTGGGCCCACCTCACTACTGTTGCTGTGTTGTAATACATCTCTATTTGGATTAGCCATATTTCAGGTGCTTAATAGCTGTATGTAGGGCTCCCATGTTGGACAATGTAGTTCTAGAGCTTCAAAAATTACTAAAACATGATCCTTGTCCTCAAAAGTTCACAAAGGGAATGCCATCTATTACACAGATAACATAATATAATATTATGTGGGAAGGTAGTATTTTGAGAAAAAAAAATCAATAATTATCTTTTCTGAGAGTTTTTTCTTGTTCTGTATTCCTTTACTTATTGATTATCTGGCAGTGTGGTGCTGTGGATTAAAGCGCTGTACCACAAAGTCAGTTTGAACTACAAGGTTGGTAGTCAAGCTCAATAGCCACTTCTTGGAAACCCTATACAGGGCACTTAGCAACAATTACTTACTACCTCCCCTCTGGGTCCATAATTTGCATGACAGAGAGAAAGAGAGACTTGATTTGAATTCACAGCAGAGGAGAGTCTTGAAAGTTCAGCTTTCAGAGTTGGGCTTTCTGAGAGAGAAAAGGGTTTTGTGAGTCCCAGGACAACAAATTTAAAGGTATAAACATGAGTTTATACCATAAATGACAAAGGAGGAACAAGAATATTTTTCTCAGCTCAAGGCAGATACAAGTTATTACAGCTGGTGGGAAGGGAAAAATCAGAGGGGATACTGAGAAGGGGCTTGCTTCACTATGCCCTGTCCCTGGAGAGAGCCCCTGGGGTCAAGATGAGGTGGAACAATAGAAATATCAGAACAACTGGGGGACTCCCAGAGCAGAAGGGACCATTGGCTGTCTCTGCTGGGAGCAGCTCCTTCATATGTAGCCTGGTTCCTGAGTGGAGAGTAGAAATGACCAATGAAGGTATTCTTGTGAATACCTTCAGGAAAATAGGCAGGAAGTATCCTGTATGACCCTGTAGCTCAGTTTAGAGGATTTACACAGACATTTCCTGTGCTGCAAGAGGGGTACAGAAATGGGGCTCCTTTGGCATGAAAAAGACACAGAGTGGCCTGTGTGGACATGAGGAAAGTGCACATGAAATTGAAGCACAGCTAATGGCCAAAACCCAGAGTGGGTAGAGGACAATTGGAGGCAAAGGACAAATGTAAGCCATGAACCAGAGCACTGTCCCTACAATGCCTTTTCCACCAGCTAGATCACCCTCAAGGAGAAAGGGGGATAAAAAGTGATGAACTCTTACAGGAACTGAGTTTAAACCAGGAAGGTCTAAGAAGACTCTAAAATGACTGAATGAGTTCACACTGCACAGTCAAGACAATTTTCCCCATCTATGGACATGGGTGCATGAGAGCTAGGTAAGTTCTTTAGAGAACCATATAGAAAACAAGTCTCACTCCTGAGTTTTGTGACTGTCCTATATATTTTTGTACATGTCACAGTTACAGATGTTATACTAAGAATGAAGGAAGTTCAGAAATACTCATTGGGCCTAAAGGAGTTGTGGAAAGTATCAACCAAGAGATGCCATCTGAGCTGTGTCTTGTATAAAGAAGTTTGCAGGCTGCAAAGCTTTAGGAAGACAAGCATTCCAGGAAGAGGTAACATCCTATACAAAGGCAAAGAGATATGAACACATATAGCATGTTTAGGGAATTCTATACAATTAACTTAATTGTGCTCATGAAGAATCTGTACATGGACCAAGAGGCAGTTGTATGAACAGAACATAGCAACACTGAATGGTTTAAAGGTGTGTGACAGGGTTGTATTCTTTCACCATACTTATTCAACCTGCATGTTGAGCAAATAATCCAAATAGCTGGGTTTTATGAAGAAAAACGAGACATCAGGATTGGAGGAAGACTCATAACAACCTGTAATATGCAGATGATACAACCTTATTTGCTGAAAGTGAAGAGGACTTAAAATATTTACTGATGAAAATCAAAGAGCACAGCCTTTGGTATGGATTGCATCTCAATGTCAAGAAAACAAAAATCCTCACCACTGGACCAATAAACAACATTCTT